CATGAGAGGCTCCTACAGCGATTATGCTCTTCTCTGCTGCTAGGAGGGCCTTCTCGAGGAGGTCAACGGTGAGAGTGGTGGGGCAAACTGAGAGGAAGTGGTCCCTGACTACGCGAAGGGAGTCAGGGAGCCGGGTGACTATGTAGTAGAGGGTGATGTACATGGGGGGGAGGGGTTCTTGGCCCAGAACTCAGCAGGAAGCGCAGCGCGGTAGCGAGTCTCACTAGTGCGGAGGTGCGTAATGAGGTCAGCGACTGTGGAAAAGGCAGCAAGGTCAAGGAAGAGGTACGGTAGCATGAGGCGGCTCAGTGCAGCAGTGGCAGGGGAAGAGTAGCGCGCAACTACAGCGTCATACAAGGTCTGAGCACTCTTGTACTGGCTAAAGTGCGCACGCTCAGAGGTAGGCAGGTGGCGACGCACAGCAAGACGTGCAGTAGCATCGCGTGTGGCCCACTGTGAGCGAACAGTGGCGTCGGCATCAGCAGCAGGGGCAGGAGAGGCACCAGAGGTGAGGTCAAAGAGGGAGAGACCGTCTCCCCTATCGCACTGTAGGAAAAGCTGCAGATCATCTACCCAGACGTCAAAGTCAATGGCCCGACCCTCAGCGTCAAAAGCGAGGACACTAGGGGTAGCCATGACAGCAGTAGGCTAGCAGCGCGAATAGTAGGGTAAGGGCAGTGCAGTGACAGAAGTGCTGCTCTTACCAGATAGGGCGGCTCGGGCGGCTCAGGTGGCGCGGCGGCTCGGGCGGATCGGGCGGCTCGGCAGCAGCTCGGCGGCGCCGGCGGCTCGGTGGTGACGGCGAGGCCGCGTGGGGACGGCGGCGGGGCCGGGTGGAGCGGCGGCGGGGCCAGTAGAGGCGGCGCCGGGGCCGGGAAGGGCAGCTCCGGGGCCGCAGGGGTAGGCGACGGGGCCAGCAGAGGCGGCGCCGAGGCAAGGAAGGGCGGCTCCGGGGCAGGGAAGGGCGGCTCCGGGGCCGCAGGGGTAGGCGACGGGTCCGCTAGGGCGGCTAGGAGGGGGGGGGTCGCGAGGGCGGCTTGAAGAGGCCGCAAGGGCGGCGTGAAAGGGCCGCGAGGGCGGCGCGAGGCGACGGAGCCGCGAGGGCGGCGGATCGGGGCCGCGAGGGCGGCGCGACGCGGCCGCTAGGGCGGCGCGACGTGAAGGGGCCGCGAGGGCGACGCGACGGGGCCGCAAGCACGGCGCGACGGGGCCGCTAAGGCGGCGGGACAGGGTTGAAAGGGCGGCGCGACGGGGATGTGAGAGGGGAGTGCGACTCGGGCAGTGTAGAGCGCGCTCCGGGCAGGGAAAAAAAAGGTGGTGGGCCCTAGGAACAGTTCCCATAGGGGAACCTGCTCGATACCATGAGAAACTGAACGAGAATGAAATGACTCAGGGAAAGTTGGGTACAAATACAAACCCTAGAAAGCTGTACCCCATATGTGCTACCCAACTATAGCATGTAGTAGCTATGTCATATAAATCTGACACACGCTTGGTCACTGTGTGAAGTTATGCACGGGATTCGCGAAGGAGATCGTGGCGAGGATGAAGTACCGCATGTGGGACTTGCAGCAGATGGGCGTTGCGAAGCTGTGTCTGTTAATGGGAATGGAGTGTTGGCCCCGCCCTCGCTTGGGCAACGCCGACGACTTGGTCGAATGTACGGGAGTAGTAGCCGACCGTTCACAATGGAAGAGCTGCTCGACAGGCTTCATCGAGCTGCAGGGGGGACCGCTGTGGTGTTGCTGTCGACCAGGGAGCTCGACAGCTACAAATGACTGGTCTGGGCGATGGGTGGGCCGTCGACTAGGAGGGGCAGTTCGACCGGGAGGTCGAGTGACAAATGAGCAGTAGTCGACGAGGGGAGCTCGGCGACAACAGCTGACAGTTCTGATCGACGGAAGGGGTCCGTTGACCAGGGGGTAGCTCGACAGGAGCCGTGGTCGACCAGAGGCACCTAGTAGTCGACCAGAAACTCGTGATGGTCGACCAGAGGCACTAGTGGTCGACGAGAAGCATGTGATGGTCGACCAGAGGTGCTTGGTGGTCGACCAAAGCACTTGGTGGTGTCCAGGTCGACTGGGTAACCTACTCGACGAGTTTCGCGGAGGCACGCGAACGTCGTTGAGGTCGCGATGGCGAAGGCGACTTCGGGCTGGTATCCCGAAGTCGATGCGGCTCGTCAGGCGCAGACAACAGCCGACGGATGCACAACGGTGCAAGTCGGGCCAATCATCTGCGCGCACCTGCGAGCTTGCGCGCTGCTGCCATCTACGGGTGCAACGTTGGACAGCCGCACTGCTGCAGCGTTGGCACGCCGTCGACTTGCTGTGTCGGCAGGTCGCCTTTCTACACTGCTGGCGCGGCTCCTCTACGCAATGCAGGCAAGCGATCGACCAAGCTGTGCTGGCGGTCGACCAGGCTAGCTGCAGGGTTGCTAGGTGCCTGATGTAGGCGTTGTTGTCATTTCTTGTTCAATTATTCTGTAATTTCGACTTTGCCTTGTGGAAACTCTTGCCGATTTCTTCCGTGAATGTGCAAGCACTATGGAACTAGACAAAACTACGATCACTCTTAGTAGTTCGTGCCAACCCCCGTAGTCTAGCTCACTACCTTTGTAGAGTGTCTCTCCGCAGTTTCAAGTGGATTCTTGGCCATTCAGGGAGGACCAGCGCGAGTTTAAGACCCTTGAGTGGCTGGCAGCAAACGATGAGTTGTTTGGCGGCATGCTTCTAGGTGAGAATATATTCATTATATGCGTTTGATTCGGCTAGCGCACTGTATGTGGCACTACCACACTAACCAACAACCAACCCCCCCTTAATATCCACAGCCCCAAACCCCATCCTCGTCAGGATTCGATTTCAAGGCGGCGAAGAAGGAGCTAAGGAGCTTCTGTCACATCTTGTCACGTCATCACGCCGGGGAAGATTTCCACCAGGGTCTTGGCGACGCAGCTATCCGAACCTGAAGACACTCTAGCAGGCCCTCGCTGTCCTTCCACTAAGCAAAGTGGAGTGTGAGAGAGGATTTAGTCGCAAGAACATCATCAAAAGCTTGTTGCGCACATCGCTGTGCGATGCTCGCCTTAGCGACCTCATCACACCAACCAAGATTGACACTGGTCCGGGATACGACCTTAGTTGGAGTAGGGCAAATATCACGGCCTGGGTGTAGCGAGACAGGTCGGGACTTGGTTTGGGCAAAATTGCCCGACGCACGGGCGCGCGAAGTTTTCTTAATCTCATCGACCAGGCTCGCACCGCAGGTTGGGCGACCGAACCTCGTCCAAATCGATCGACCTAAATGCGTTTTTGCGATTGTAACTACAAGTTTTGATCTGTAGGAGTCGATGGTCCCTCTTGATATCATTGTTTCGGTAGCGCGAAAATGTTTGGCGCGTGTGTCACGCTTCTTGCCTAGATTCATTTTTTTTGCCACGTGTCCACCGCGATTTGATGAAACATTTAAGGAGCATGGAATTCAATCTAGGGCCGACAAAAAATAAACCCCGAAATACAGGGACGCAATTCGGGAGGCATCAATCCTAAACAAAATTGTAAAGGTGTTTAGGGTTGATGCCTCGAATGTGGTGCAATTCGGGAGGTATCAACCCTAAACACGGGAGCTGGCAAGGTGTTTAGGGTTGATACTTTGAAAGCGGTGCCTGCCTCCCTAGGGGTTTTAGCTTGTTTTACACCGTATAAGAATCAAGACCTAAAAAAAATCAGCATAAGTCAAGCCTTGTCGGCGTGACCAGACTGAAGTGACGTAACACGTCGCAAAATCTGTATTTGGTGAAAGAATTGAAACCCCATGCTGTAATTTCGTGAATCTGACCGTAAATCCAATTGCACCTGTAACGGCAAGATATGTCTGTTCGCAGTACGAATATAACGTAGAAGTGTATGTAGGTTGATCCATTTGGACGAGGTTCGGTCGCCCTACCTGCGGTGCGAGCTTGGTCGCTGGGATTAAAAAAAGTTCGCGCGTTGGCGCGTTGCGCAATTCTGCCCCTGGTTTGGGAGGTGTTGCACTGAACGATGCCACTTTCATTGGTCGAACACCCTCACACTCTGACGAGGCGTGTAACATGTGGACGACGTTATTGGGACAGTGATCCATCGCAAAAAGGAACAGCATGCGTGGTCTGCGGAGAATCGCGAACACAGGTCGCGAAGACCGTGCGAAACAGTTTTTCGCAACACGTCAGATCAAGAGGGAGTTCACAAGTTCGAAATGTTCAAGAGCACCACGATACACCGTTTCAGATGAGAGTTTGTAACATTTGTACCATCTGTAACCTATTCGGTTTTATCAGCCTCTCGTTCGAGAACTGATAAAAACCTGTTTCGGCCCTAACTCCATCACTACTGTTACTCCCATCACGGGATTTACGCACTACGTCATTACTAACCACGTTTAGCATTGCTCCACGATGGCTCCGCGGCGCCAGTCTTGGTTCCCTTAAAGCTCGCGTCTCAAATTTCCTACCATTTAACACTTGGTTGGGTTTGTGCGTCTGTGATTGGGAGACGAAAAACGAAATATCTGACGAGTGGGTGAAAAAAAAAACAGCGAACTCCCAAACAGTCGAGGCCAAAACAAACCAGGGTGGGCTGGTTTGGGAGGTTTCCGAACCAGGGGGGACAGGTTTGGTCCCAGGTTCTGTCAACGTTGAGGTCACAAGTCTCAAATTTCCGAGAGTTGTAAACACTTGGTTGGATGGCAGAAATATGAGACGCGAGCTTTAACAATGCCACACTCTCTGGAAAGCCGTCTCAGCTAGAAGGCTCAGCTGCGTTGCGATATCCCGCTCGCCCGTGACCGTTGCCGTTGTCTGCTTCAGTCTAGCATGCGGAGCCCTAGCCGCCATAGCATTCTTAGCAATATGCTACTGGTCCGTCTTCGGGCAGAACCTCTCCCCGCAGGCGGAGGAGTTCCGCGACTCGTGGGATTCGTGCGTGACGCAGCGCGTGGGGCATCTGTTCAGACTCAGCATGTTGTCGGACCTGCGCGCGCACGAGTGCACGGATCTCGTGAAAGCCGCCGTCGCCAGAGGCGAGGAGCTGATGGCGCGCGGGAAGGAGTTGCGCGCGCGCGGATCGGGCGGGGGGCCGCCGCCGGCTCCCGCGGATGGGTGCGCGGTGCAGTACGACGCGAGCGCGGATCCGTGGGACAGCCATCCGCTGCCTCCCGACAAGTTCTCCCGTGGGCATAAGTTTCTCCGTGATCGGAAGCCGCCAGCCCTGGACGGGACAAGGCGGCCGTTTGCGCTCCATCCGCGACTTCGTCGCGGGGCTGCCGCGCGATCGCGTCGTGATCACCACCGACGCCGACGACGTCTTTCTCATGCCGCACCCCAAATGCCGCCCGCAAAACTTCCTCGACGCATTCTTTGCGCTCAACGCGCCGGTGGTTATCGGCGCGGAGATCTACTGCTGGCCGGATATGGGCAAACTAGAACCTTTCTACCCGCCCAGGAACAGGCACTCCGTGAATCGGTTTCTTAACGCGGGTGCTTATGTCGGGTACGCGTGGGCGCTGGCGGAGATCATCGATCTGATCTACGTGCGCGACTGCATGCAGGACCAGCGCGGGTTCATCCTCGCGTTCCTCGCGCAGCAGTACCTCTTCCGCGACATCCCGCGCGCGCCCAACCCGGACCCCGCCGCCGTACGCGCCGCGTGGGAATCGCCGAACGACGTGACGGAGGCAGTTCTAGCCCAGGCGGAGGCGGCGGAGTCGGCGAGCCGAGCGGCGTGGCGGAACAACCGCACGGTGCAGTTCGAATCCGCCATGTTGCCGTTCCACCGCCTGCCCGCCAAGCCCAAGCAGCGCGTCATGGACGAAGCGAGGCGCGCCGGGCACCGGGACGCGGCGTCTGTAATGGCGGCGCCGTTCATCAAGCTGGACCACTACAGCGCGCTGTTCATGCACCTGGGGGGAATGCCGTGGGAACATTTTGAGATTTTGGGTACAGGGGAGCAGGCGCTGGTGCGGCAACTATCTCGTATGGGGAGGCGTGCATCTTGCACCAGCAGGGGAATAAGCTCGTGAATCTGTCCATGACGTATGTTATCAATGCAACGGGTCTTGAGGAGCTGAGGAAGGCACGCGGTTATGTCCACAAGTAGAACAGGACGCAAGATCAGCTGCTGCTGCTGCCGCCGCCGCCGCCTCTGCCGCCGCCGCCGCTGCCGCCGCTGCTGCTGCTGCTGCCTCCGCCACCTCCTCCGCCGTCGCCGCTGCTGCTGCTTGTAGCTAGGACCATCACGCATCGTTGAATCCGCCGCCCGTGCAGGTGCCGTGCTGTGTGCTGCTGCTGCTCTACTTCCGTACTGAAGTGCTCATACTTGGCTGGCTGGCTAGCTGGCTGGCTGACAGACCACACTATGGAAGAGGTAATCCATGCCATGCCAGGCAATTCTTATCCTGGTCATACTACCAAATTGATTCCACTCCACACAAGGCACTCAATATGCTACATGTTGGTGCGGGACATGCACTACCAGGTGCGTGATTGGAATCCAGGGTCTTTTGTTGGCACTTGCTGTGATGTCTGGATGCTATTTACCTATCAATCTCTTGGGTTGATGTCTAATGGAAGAACGTTCTGGTGGTGATGGCCTTGATACAAAACAAATCACACTTCGTATGGTTGCACAACTCTCTTATCGAGTCTGCAAATAACATATCTTATTATTTTGTGAAAACTGGTGGGCCCCCCCTCTACACCGAGACATTAACCACAGCAGGAGCAGCCTTGTCAACGCGCTTCATGATCCCCGCAATCACCTTCCCAGGCCCCAGCTCGTAACTCTCCGTCAACCCACGCGCCAGTAGCTGCTTGAGCGATCCCTCCCATTGCACCGGCGACGTAATCTGCTGAGCGAGAATGCGCTTGATGACAGCGGGGTCCGAGTGCGGGCGCATGTCCACGTTGGACACGATTGGGATGCGTGGCGTGTGGAATGTGGTGTTCGCCAGGGCTTCTTCCAGACGAGGGACGGCCGGGGCCATGAAGCGCGTGTGGAAGGCGCCTGCTACGGCTAGACGCACCTGGGAGGTTGGGAGACAGGGGGGGTGGAGGATGGGAGGGGGTGGGGGTGGAATGGATGGGAGAAGAGACGTGAAGACAGCAATCTGGATGGTAAAGAGATTAAATGGGAATACAGTGTTCCAGAGAGTGAGCCGAGGTGGAGAGAGTGGAAGACAAGCGACCACAACGTGTTAGGGAGGGGGGCTTACTGTCATGCGGGCCTTGAACGACTTGGCCTTGGCCTCCACCGCTTTGCACCCCTCCACACCTCCGGACACAGCATAATTACCCTGCACAAAGCAAAAAACAGGTGGAGCAGAGGGGGTGAGAAAGAATTAGCCACAGAATGAGGAAAAGTGGCGAAGAGGGACAAGAGGGCAGGGACGGGAAGAGGCGGGGAGAGGTAGCAAGGGCTGGTTGAGGCAGGGGGGAGAAGATGGCGGGGGAAAGGAAATTGGACGGGGTAAATGCAACGTGCTTTACATCAAGCAAGTACCACCACAAAGAGCACACCACCCCTCCGCCATCTCTCCCTGTCCCCTCACTCCCCCCCCCCCCCCCTCCCTTCAAACACTCTCCCCCTCCCCCCCCCCCCCCCCCCCTCATGATTCCTTGCACATCTCAGCGCACGCACGTTGCAGAGGAAGTTGGCGATCTGTACGCGCTGGCTCTCCTCCACGTCCTCGTTCGCCGCGTCGCACAGCTCCTGCACCTTGTCCGCGCCCAGCCCGATCACGCTCACCATCGCGCTCGGCGCCGCGTCCGCTGCCGCCTGGTGCAGCCAAGGAGAAAAAAAGGGGAGGAAGAGGAGAGGAGGGGAGGGGAGGGGAGGGGGGGGGGAGGGGGGAGGTGGGGAGGAACCAGAGCTGTAAGAGACAAAGACCAAGAACATGAGCGTGGAAAAGGGTATCGCGATTAATCACACGGAATACCCGCGCAAAACCCTCCCCGCATAAATATGTTGCCTCCACGCGCACACACAATTATCGAATCTGCAATCCCGATGCTGCACTTATACACCCACTCTATTCCCCGTTCCCTTAACCAGCCCACGCCCTCCCGCCCCCATTCCCTCATCTCAATCGTCGCCCTCATCTCCGCGCGCACCTGCATGGCCTCGCCGCGCAGCTGCACGAGGCGCAGCCCGTCCTCGAAGCTAAACGCGTCGGCGAACGCGAGCGCCGTGTACTCGCCCAGGCTCAGCCCCGCCGCCACGTCGATGCTCGCCAGCTTCGCCGCGCCGCCCTCCTGCGCGCGCAGCGCCTCCACGGCCGCCAGTGACGCGACGTAGATGGCCGGCTGGCTGACGGCCGTCAAGTCGAGCTTCTCCTTGGGGCCGTTCACGCACACGTCGAGCAGATCGTAGCTGCACGCGGGAGCGGCAGTAGGGGATGAGACGGGGGACGCAGGAGGGTAGGAGATGGGGGATGAACGAACAGCGCAAGGGGGATCGCGAGGGTGAGAGAAAGAGGGGGCTGGAAGGAGAGTGCGTGCGGGCGAAACCGGAGTCGAGGACGCCGGTAGCGCATAAAAAAACAGCAATAACGCTCCAAGGAAACGATCATTACCAACCTTATAGAATGCACAATAGACTGTCTAGGGCGGGGCCAACCAGTCCATTCTCCCATTCATTGTTCTCGGCACCACTTCCAGTCTCTCCCCCTCGCCCTCTCCCCACCCATTCCCCCCAACCCCACCATATACCCGAATCCCTTTCCCTTCCCCTCCCCTTCCCCCCCTTTTCTCGAGGGACATAATCATCCCCAAACACGCGCTACTCACCCGAGGATCTCGCTAGCCTTGGCGAAAAGCGCCGCCGCAGCCGGCACGGTGGCGGCTTCCGCGCCCATGCCGACGCTCTGCGCGCCCTGACCGGGGAAGAGCGCGGCGACTGTGGCCCTGTAGTCGCCGAACGCATCGTCCGACTCCGCGCTGCTGGCGCGGCACTGTAGGCGGCGCTGTTGCTGCTCCGAGCGACGTGCGACCGACGAGAGGCGCTGCGACGCGCTGATGGTGGAGGAGGGTCGAGGGACGAGAGAGGGACGGCAAGAGGAAAAAAGCGGGGTGGAAAGCGAGAAGGGAAGAAGGCCAGGAAGATGAAAGGAGGGAACGACGCGTGGTGAGGTTAGAATAGGTGGTGGGTGGCCATTGTATCGACCCGGATGTAAACTTGGGCGCCGAGAACATGTAACGGCAAGGGCGGACTGCACACATGTAAGGACACGATGAGTATTTAAATTCTACAACTGGTGTGACGCTAGATGACATTCATTCCAGGTCGCGTGGGAGATAAATTCGTAAGATGTACAATTCATGTGGAAGCGTCGGGCGTCATAGCCTCAGGCGACATGGCCTCGGGCGACATGGCCTCGGGCGACATGGCCTCGGGCGACGGAGTACGAGTGTCCTCAGCTCTCATAGCATAATACCCACTTGCGACGCACTTACAGTGTCGACTCGCCGTTACCACACAAAACTGACAAGCCCTCGTGGAAAGGAGGAGGGCGAGGAAAGCGGAGTCAGGAGGAGGAGGGAAGGAGGAAGAGGAGGAGGTGAAGGAGGAGGTGAAGACAGGAGAGGCGAGAAGGAGGAGACGGGTAGGGAGAGGAGGAGAAGGTGAGAGTGAAGGAGGGGAGAGAGGAGAAGGGGAGGGCAAGGCAGCTCTGCGCGGCACGTGCGAGAAGACGGTTGGCGTCATTCAGGCAATTGGTTCACATCACTGGACACTGCCGTGGACTAATTCGCAATTATTTTTTCAGCTTCCGACATTTGCACACGCACGCATGCATGCACCCAGCGCGCGAGTGAGGCGATCCGACAAACGGGCAGGCAAGCCGCCTTGCGAAATTAACCATAACAGTAAAGTTGGGAGGGAGCGATTACAGCTGAGACCCACAGAGTGGAGACCCACATCGACCCGGTAAGGTATCCAAACAATCACCTGCCGATGGATGGAGCGGCTCTAAAAGCGAGCTGGCGTGTGGAAAGCGGCCGGATGCCAGCGTTGCTGACGGCGCCCGTGAGGGCCGCAGACACACGCGATGTGACGGCTGCCATGATTCAGATCGATCAGGGAAGCTTGCAAAGAAAAGTTGCCTTTCCCTGCAATCTGAAGACACAGCAACCTCTCGTCAGGTGGACAAACAATACAGAAAGCTGAAACAGAGAAATGGAAATGTTGCTTGAGATATGTAGAGTGGGAATCCACGGAGGAGCCATGGCGGAGGATTTCAGATCAGAAATGGGAGGTCCAGCTGGGATACAAGCCAACTCCCAAATTCCAGAGGAAGGGTGGTGGTGGAGGAAATTGGGGGACAGGAGTGGTGGTGGTAGATATTGGTGATCGGATTGCCGCGTGGATGTGACACGTGTATGATCGATGGTGATGTGCTAAGGTCATGAAACGTATGTACACGTCAAATTGTCGTAAGACTTGCAAAGCTGCTTGCATCGACGGTTATTACAGAGTGATTGAGGTTCGAGTCTGTCCAGCTGTTCCACGATGAACACAGTTGGCAGGAAAGGCTGCCACCACACACATACTCGATCTGTGTATTCTTAGACCGTGACGTGCACATGCTCAATTGCTAGATTTTCTCAAACTAGGGATAAATGATTATTAATATAGAGGAGATAAGTAGGCCACAAATTGCATACAGATCTCAAGATACATGTGACCTGTCAGAATAGTTTTGAATGACATTTAGTGTTGGCCAAAAAACTAAATAAGTTTCTTGTATAACATTAATTATATATATATGCGTTTATGCATACAATTTTCCAAAAACTATATATTTTAAACAAATTACACGATGATACAGTCTCTTCTACGTAAAAGAGATATCAATGTCTCACAATTAAGTGGATTGATTCAAACAGGGGAAGATAGGATTAGTGTATCTTTTCGTGTAAAGAACTGTTATCACGATTTGGGCATCTGGGGCCGCGAAATAGCCACCTTGGAGTTTGAGGGCGTATTTCGGGTTTGGGGCATGAGCACTGTTCAGGCACTGTACAGGGCATCCGCAACAACCGCATGACCCAAACCCAAGCACCAAAGCGCGCGCGACTCGAACTTCGGGTCATGCTCAACATTGCATGCGACCGTCAAACAAAAGGTGGAGCGCACCAATCACAGAGCTGCGCGACCGCATGTAGAGCAACCTCTGTAAATCGGCCGTTCGGCGCGATGTGCACGCCCGTCAATGTGGCGTGTACACCACACCCTTGTAAAACAACTTAATCCTCGTAACAATCACAACATCCAGAAGCCAGACCAGCACACTACATGCAAAGACACACAAACCGCCCTGCTAACAAGCACAGCCACCACCACGCCCGTGTCGCCAGCTCCGCCAGCAAGGATGCAGGCAAGACACCGTACTGAACCATCTCTAAAGGGCCGCCAGGAAGCCAGTCGGCCAAAGCCGCTGTGGCCATAAAACATGCTTACCCCACAGGTACTCATTCTATGTGTAGCATTGCACCTCTGGCATGAGTACGTGCTCAACACCTGGCAGCGTGTAGTATCCCTCGCCGCACTAGAGTGGATAACCACTATCCTACCGATGGCCCAAGCCGAGGATGAGGAGCGCCAGCGACGTGCGACTGCGCGCCGCGAAAGCCGCCAGCGCCGTCGAGAGGCACGTGTGGCGGAGTGGGTGGAGGAAATTCGCGCTATGTTTGACGAGGAGTTCGAGGACACCTTCCGGATCACGCGGGAGGTGCTCGACCTCATCGCGGAGAAGATGGCGCACCCCATGTCCCGTTTCGTCGAGTACAACAACGTCCCGTTATCTCTCTGTTGCCTGATTCCCATCAAGTACTTTGCAAGTGCCATGACATATCACGACATGAGTTTCATGTTCGGTTTGCCCAAGGGTCTCATTCATCGCATTGTGGACTGCTTTTTGGTGTGGTTCCCCCGCAAGTTCAAGCGTGACTGGGTTCAATTCCCTTCTGAAGAGTTGCGTGAGGAGATGGCGCTGGACTTCCGCGCCATCAAGGGCGTGCCGAACGTCATTGGAGCAATCGACGGCACACAAATCGAGATACGCGGTCTGGATGCTCACCGCAGCGACTACTACAACCGCAAATCTGTATACAGTGTACAGCTACAGGTCACTTGTGACTCGAAAGGGATCATCTGGGACTACACAGTGGGCAACCCCGGGTCTATGCATGATCAAGGTGTTTTCTCTACCTCTGAGCTACATGGCAGGCTAGAGAGCGGCGAAATCGCCCCCTATCAGCTGCTTGGGGACGCGGCATATCCTCTGAAAAGCTACATGCTAACCCCCCTCCATGCTCCCCGCCGCCGCCTAATGAAGAAGTGGGAGAACACCTTCAACTACGTCCAATCGGCGACGCGGATGGTGGTTGAGCGCACGATCGGAGCACTCAAGGGTCGATGGAGGCTCTTCTCCCGCCGGCACGAGAGCAAGCTCTGGCGCGTGTGTGGCGGGACCGCCTGCATCATCATCCTGCACAACATGCTGCAGGTGGTCAGCACCCCAAGGATGAGGACGTTCAATCCCCGCCGCTTCATTTGGGCGGGGCTACCAAATGGCTGGTGGACAAGAAGCGGCATGGATCGCTACCAATGGGAGAGCCTGGACAACCCGACTCTTACCGAGCTGCGCGTCAGGCGCCGCCACTTCGGCAAGCATATCCACAGGGCTTACCTTAGGCGTCGCCGAATGCCCAAGAGGCAGCGCTAAGGCGCTGGCTGCTCGCCCGCCTCATCTGACCCGGCCATGGTTGCGTCTCCTTCCTCCGCTGTCGGCGGCGGAGGTGGGGTGGTGGCTGGCGCATCTTGAGAAGCTTGCTGGGCGACCATCTGCAGGCGCAAGCCTGCCTGCAGCGCCGCCATGTTCATCGCGGCGACAAGGACCTGCGTTGAATCCTGGAGCTGGCGCACCACGTTCACGTTGGTGGAGTTGATCGCGTCGGTCACCAACCTAGCTGCCGCCATTGTCGCAGTATCCTGTACCCTCCGTCGTTTCGGTGGAGGGGTGATTGCCGTTTCTGTAGGGGTGGGAGTAGGGTGTGTCGGTCATAAGGCGGCCTTTCATGTCGTTGTTTGCCTGTACCTCCCTTGTCTGTCAATGTTTTGGAACATTGGAAACTTGACGTTTAAATGAGTGTGTTGTATAAGAGACACACTAAACCGCTCGGGTATTAGCACATTTGTCGCATTGGTAAGATATAACCTAAACAGTAGGCGAATACATGAAATCAGAGCACTGACCGATGTCTGGTGTTTGGCGGCGTGTTCCACGCTGTTGCGCCTAGGCCGGCGGAACCAAAGTCTCCCGGTCGTTGGAGCCGGGGACAGTTGCGTACGCCGCGACGTCAACGCTGGCGGCGCCACCGCCGTCCAAGGCGTGGGGCTTAGCTTTGGCCGAGTGTTTTTTCAAGTTGTACACGTACTCCCACCAGGGCTTCTTCTTCACGGCTTTGCCTCCGCTTGCCGATTCTCCCCGCTTCGTTTTGAAGTAAAGCTTCTCGAGGCGTTTCCACGCATTAGACATCTGCCCCTCGTCGCGGTTCCACCCCGGTTCCCCCTCGACGATGTGGGCGTGCAGCTTCCTCCAATACTGGCTGCCCTGCTTGCCCTGCATCGCTTTGAGATCGTCCTTCGTAGTCCACTTGGCGGCGGCGAGGGTCGTCAGCTCCGCATCTGACCACTTCCTCTTGTTGCTTGACGGTTTAGGTCGTTTCTCCTTCTTCGACGCTCGTGTGCTGCGATCGTGGCGACTCCCTTCGCCGTCGGACTCTCCCTCCTCGTCGTCCGTTGTGTCCTTGTCGTTACCGGAGTCGTCATCGCTTTCCGATTCCGAGACGATCTCCTCGAGGTCGTCATCGCTGACGTCGGTATCGGCGCCATCCTCGTAAGCAAGCCGTGACGCGCCGCTGGTGGATGCGGCCGCAGAGTCCCGTTTGGTCTTGGATATGCGTTTGATGGAGGGGGGCGACTTCCCCTGTTTCTTCTGCTCCTTTAACCACACGACGTAAGGAGGGTCCGCCATAGGCTCATCGTCGGATGCTGTCTCCTTTCCCTTGCTACGGGTGCTACGGCGTGGCGGCATGGCTGCACGTTCTGTGCTTGACAGATGTGGGTGATGAGGCTGTTGGTGTTCGTCGGTTGAAACTGTGTCATGCAGATCTGGAAGTTTGTTGCGCTTGTGTTTTTGTGGGATGCAACAACCCTGGTGTGGGAAGGACGCTGTTGGGATGGTGGGTTTGGCTGGGAATGTGGAGCCGCGCAGATCTGAATGTGACCTTTCCCGCCGGGAATTTTGACGGTGGCTGGGGTGGGGTCAGACGGACTATCGGCTGATGGCTGTTCGTGGGGGTACATGTACGACTCGGCCGTATTGGCCGCGACGTGTGTTACCAGTATTTTGTTTGGCGCGGATTTTGGCGCCCAAACGAACTGTCGCATGGGGCGCATGCCTCGAGGTTGGTGTTGCGTGTTGTTCTGGGCATCCGCAAATGGCGCATGCCCGGAACAGTGCCCATGCCCCAAACCCGAAATACGCCCTGAGAGGGTGGCAAAATTACCAGAGCCGAGGCGTTGATGGTCATCCCTTGGTTTCTCCTCGTACCTGCCTATACTCCAGTGAAGGAAAAGGCTCCCGAGTTTAGTCATTTCAGGGATTTCAGGCACCTTGGGATTGTCCCTTGTCCACAGACCTTGGCGGATAGAACAGGTGCGTGAGAGAGCAGCAATGGTGGTCCAGTTCCAGCATGTGCAGCGAAAACATCTCCAGATTTTGCCTGATACGGCTGTTCGGGATACGTGTTCGTACCTGCGAAGTGGTACCAGCACCAATGCTGCAAGCAGCCTCTCCTGTGTCAGAAACTCACCATTTGGACTGTTGAAGGAAGCATCTGTAGTTCGAACGTTGTAGGACAACACGACATTTAGTAATCCGCCATTTGATTATAGATTGTAGGACAACACGACATTTAAAAGCTAGTTTGGGTCTTTTCAACCCATTGCTGAGTAAGGCTCGTGCTCGCAATGGCGTCTCTTCATTTCGTGCTAGATTCAACCATCGACGGCAGGTCGTTGGCGATCGTCAAAGAAGTGAGACCTGGCCTGAAGTCGTTCCATTTGTCTGGTGTTCATATTCAGAAAATAAGGCATTTGAAGGGAGAATAGTACCGTAGAGAAGCATTCCATTGGAGATCTTACTTGGTCTCATTGCACGTTTCAGGCTCTTCAGCGTTTCGGACATTTGATTGCTATCGGTCAGCCTCATTCGTGGAACTATGGTGGAAACACCACTCCGAGCGTATCAGTCCACCACAACCGATGGGTTCCTGAGTCCAGCCACTTTGAGGTAAATGTTTTGCAGCAAATGGCTTCTCAAATTACAATTCACCTACTCCCTCGCGCTCTTAGAGTTTCATATTCAATGTTCGTTCTTCATTTAAATGTAACACCTTTCTCTGCTTCTCCCAGCTTGTCCAGGTGTACCCAGCAGCCGAGAAACTCAACCAGACGTTCGGTTTGAGGGAGTTCAACCATGCGCTGTCAGCCGCAAACCTCGCTCAATCCGCAACATCTCTGGCTCAGAGGCTACAACGAAGCCTCAGCGTCTCGTATCCTAACGATGGCGGCTCTGATGCGGCTCCATTAAACCCATTTCTTATGGAGGCGGGTGGAGAAGCGGGTGGTGCTAAACAGTTTCTCAGTGGAGGGGTTGGCAGTCAGAGTAAGTGATGATGGCCGTGATTCCAGAAAGCAATTATTCAAATGTTTCCGTTTTTTTATCTGTCTATTAACCAACAATGCCTGCCAACCTGTTGTCTCCAGTGGCTTTTCTCGCATCCTTACTGCGAATGACTACCCAGCCAAATGCTTGGGGAAGCGTAGTTGAAGAAGCTGACAATGGAGAGTCGGTATCGCAGATTTCTACATCCAAGCTGCTGGCTGGAGCAAGCTGCAAAGTCATTTTCGTCTGTGGGTCCATTCTGCAGGACCCTTCTGATGAGAGCTTCCACTCAGCCGTGATGGTGTGTGTGTGTGTGTGTGTGTGTGTGTGTGTGTGTGAGAGAGAGAGAGAGAGAGAGAGAGAGAGAGGGGGGGGGGTGTGACAGTTCACGTTCTTGCACGTGTCTGCATCTGCTGCTGTTTTGTTTCAAGCGAGAAAGTTCACCCCGAGTTCGCTCTGCAGGAAGCTGCCACTCGATGTGTCTCTGTTGACTTCCTTGTAGTCCAGCCTGCTACGGGCAACACAGCAAACCACCACTGGATGCGATCTGGTATTCTGAAACATTGAAGCTTTCGTACAGAACTTATGCTGTGATGCCAAGATGGTGACACGGTGGGCGAATCAGGAATTAACAGGCAATTGTTTGCAGGGTATTCAGGCGATGTTGATTCTCCCCCAACTAGCCATTCATCAAGGCTGGAGGAGCTGGAGGACGCTGTGTCCGGCTATGAGAACTGCTCCCTGCACTGCATGCTATGCGGTATGCTGTTCCGCCACTTGCTCTGATCTGTAATCTCCCTTACCTCATCAAGACCTTCTCGTTCTTCAGAATGTTCTCCTGCATGTCTCACTTCAACACATACCGCTACAGCTGAGATTGGTCCCCCCCCCTTGCTTCAATCAAGTTCCAACCACGTGGATGCTGCTCTCACCCCCTGCAGATCCTCTGCAGCTGGATGCTTACACAAAGCGCTGGCTGCAGCACCTGCATTCATGTGGCGCAGACACCACCATCGATTTCGCCCTTCAGTTCGGAACGTCCAAGGCGAAAAGCAAGAGGACCCAGGGAGACAACACTGGCGCAGGGGCAGGAAGGACGGCGGCTCCACTCAGCATAACCTGCTCTGCGCATCCAACGGTGCTGCAACTGCACGACACCATTCAGCCGTGCCTGGTGAGCTGCAGTGCTTGCAGTACATGCTGTACCTATGATGTGAGCGATGTCCATTTGCCACTCGAGTTCCCTCATCACTTCACCTCCTTGAGCACACCAGCGCGAGTTCACCTTCACTATGCCAAATCTCTGGTCTTCACGCTGCCTCTTTTGTGTGGTGCTCGTCCTGGCCAACCCAATTCTCTGTTCCTTACTCTCAGTGCATTCAGATTCTCTCTTTTTCCTGCTTCCTGACCTCCTGTCCCCCCTTTCACCTCAACCCTTCTCCCACTTCCCGCCAGACCTGCCGCTGTCACGGAGTGCCTCTGCCATTCCCTTCCACCTTACCCAACCTCTCGAACCCCTCGTCTCGCCCCTCCAACCCTTCCCTGCCTCTCGCCAAGCCCCCAAGCCTGCGATGCCCTGTCTCCGGGCAGAGGCTGGATGCGAGTGATGTGACCAGCAACACTGTGCTGCTGGGAGCCTCAGGCACTGGTGGGAGACGGAGCAGTGGTGGTGGTGGTGGCTCATGGGATGGGGATCCTGGGGTTGACTCTTGCAGGATGTCAAGAGAGAGCGGTGGAGGGGAGGAGGATGCTTGGAGGAGGGGGTCTAGGGGGAGGTCGAGAGGAGGGAGGGTAGGTAGGGATGACGTGGGTGACGCGAGTGGTGGTGGGAGTGGGGGGAGGGGAACGCTTCTGCACTTGCCGTCATTTAAGGCGGCTATGGAGGCTCCTCGGCTGCATGGAGGGGGGACCCCTGCTGTGCCTCTGACTGTGGTCAAGCGAGTGCTGCTGTCGTCAGTCAGCGAAGGTAGTCCAGGCAAGAAATAAGGGCACTCAATCAGGGAAGACACAGTCACGGGAAAAGTCACTATTCATGGTGTTGTGATGTGCTTGTGCTGATTCAGGAGAGACACGGGTAGGACATACGTGAAGTATTTGCTGGAAGGTAACCGTTTCTGGGCAATGAAGTATCTGCTGATTTGTGCTTGTGTGTGTGTGTGTGTGTGTGTGTGTGTGTGTGTGTGTGTGTGTGTGTGTGTGTGAGTGCGTGTGTGTGTGTGTGTGTGTGTCTGTGTGTGTGTGTGTGTGTGTGTGTGTGTGTGTGTGTGTGTGTGTGTGTGTGTGTGTGTGCACGCACGCACGCTTGTGTGCAGGTCTCATATTTGGCCTCCCACACGTTCTCATGCCATCTCAGGATCTGGAGCTCGACTTCTCTAACAGCACAGAGCTCTCCGAAATGGAGAGAAACGAGCACGGTGAGCATAAATCACACAAGCCACTTCACTCCCATCCTTCTCTTTCCCCTTCCATTCTGCTTTTACTTTCCATCTATACGTTCACCTCCCTCTTCTCCCACTCCCTCCTCGTTCTCAATCGTCCTCTCGTGAAACCCGTCCTGTCCTTGGTGTTGCAGCGTTTGCTGCGCTGTGCCGCTCACTGAACCAGCATGACAACGGGCTGCTGTGCTCCAGCCTCGTCGATGCAGACACGCGCATGGACGTCTCCTTCCCCTGCTACTACCTCCTGCTGCCCACTGAAGCTGGATCGCTCCTCCTGAGGGTAGGTCAACTATGCTACCCCTCTCCAGTTCCCTGTTACGCAACAATGGCGGCCTACCCTTTCCTTTTCTCACTGCCTGTTAATTCCATTCTCGTCTAGCTGATCGTTCAGCATGATGTGTTTATTCTTGTCTTTTACCTTGATTTCAGAGGGTGGCTTCAGCAGAGGAGCTGCTGCCCCTGCCACCAAGGCCTATCAGCAACCACGGGGAGGAGGACGACGAGAAGGGGGAAGAGGTGGCTGCTGCTGTCGACTTGGCACTGTCTCAGGTGACTCCCCTTCAGGCCACTATTCTCGAACACACAATGTCTACCATGCAATGTCTTCCACGATGGCTACGTGGTTGCTGGTGGTAGGCGTGTATTTGAAAATCCCCACAAGGGTTAAGCATTTCACCTCACCACTGTCAAGTAAGTGGTGGGACGATCAGTCATTGTGAGCAAGGTCAGGCAAGGGTACTCCATCAGCAGCCTTACATTCATCGCCACTAGATCTTCATACTGCCTCCTATTCAATCACCTAATTCTCTACCTTTCTTGTGTTCTATGCTCCTGTTTACAACTCAAACCAAACCGTACTGCACCGCTCTGCACTCCCTCACCAGCTGGAGGAGGAGGCGTTCAACCCAGTGGAGGTGGAACGGGGCTGCCACCAGCGCCTGCAGTGGCTGCTCAAAGAGAGCTTGTACTTCCAGTGAGGGGATGTCATGGCTTTGGGGATGAAATGGGACACAGCATGGGCGTGGGCATGGGCATGCGGGATGGGTTTGGGCAGGGGTATGGGTAGATGGGCATGGGTCTGGGTATGGGCTGCTGGGCGAGTGAGTTATGTTTCAATTAATGCTACTGATGCAGTGCTTTTCTCCTAGCCCTTTCTCGCTGCTAGCTCCTCTTCGCCCCATGCACCCATTTATCCCGCATGCTCCCATTTCCATTGCCCTCGCAGGCCCATACCTCCTGGCCGCCAGGGCTCCAACCTGCACTCTGTCACGCATGGCTCTCGCTCCTCCTCACGCTCCCCCTCGTTCTCATCACCGTCAGCCATCGCTGCCACCACATCTGATAGTCCAGGAGGGAGTTCCCCTGCTCAGCTCGCTGCTGTCTCAGGGAGAAGGGAGAGGAGGAGGTCTGGCTCTTCATTGCTCGTTGCTGCTGCTGGAGCTGCTGCTGTTGCTGGCGCTGGCGCTGGGGCTGGTGGTGGGTGGGGGGCACTTCCTGTTTCTGCCTCTATGGATCCAGAGAGGGAGTCTGGGAAGGTGGGGATGAGGCATGGTGCGGATTCGGATCTTTCCGCTGCTGAGGATTGGCAATCCAGGGCCTCAAGAGGGCAGAGATCAGCACAGATTCTTCAGATGATCAAGGAGAAGCGGAATCAGCTGCCGCAGCAGCAGCAGATGCTGCAGCAGCAGCAGCAACAGATGCAGTTTCAGAAGGAGCTCTCCTCAGGGCACCAAGCAAGCAGCCTACAAGCAGCAACTGCCGCAACACAGCCCCTGCGGCCACCCTTCGTCCCCACCCCTCCCCCACCTCGCACCACACAACCCTCCTTCCAGTCACCCGCCTCTGGTGCTATCTCATCCTCCCCTTCCCACCGCAAGCTCTTTCCTTACCTCTCCGGACCCCCTCGTGCGCCTTCCCACTCCCAGCCCTCCTCCCGCTTCATCGTCACTACTTTGTCTCCTGTAACAGGGCATCCGGCAGGGAGAGCAGGGGAAGAAACTGTGGGTCGCATGGAGAGCACAGTTGAAACAGGAAAGGGTATTGACCCTGCCACTGCCACTGCCAATGCTTCTGCTGCTGCTGCAGTGTGTGCTCCAGGACAGTCACTACCAGCGAATAGAGGGTACCTGAGCACCCCTCCTGCAGATGGTGAAATGGAGACAAAGTCTGCAGATGATGCTGTAAGGTCTGCAGCTTCCGCTGCTGTGCCTGCTTCTGCTGCTGCTGCTGCTCCTGCTCCACGCCATGGCTTGCTCTTTCCCTCAGGGGACGAAGATGATATCGAGGAGGGAGGATCAGCAGCATGGGCTATAGAGCTAGAGAGACTCTCAAACGGTTTGGGTAAGGCCACAAATGGGGACACTACCAGATTCGCAGGCGACTTGGGGGAAGAGCAGCAGAACATGCAGGCTGTGCAAATACTGCCTGACCTGCAGCTCCCTCCCTCCAGATCCGCCCATCCCCAAAATGCACCAGCTGCTCATCTTTCAGAGCGGGCTGCTCCCTCGGGCTTCTCGCGCCCTTCTCTTCCTCCAGCCTTGTCAGCAGACTCTCGAATCCGGCGGGCACGCAGGCAAACCGCAGAAGCGGTCCCCCTGTCCGCACCTCTGCAAGACAGCAGCAATCTGCAGCCACAGGCACAAACAGCTCTGGCTGTGCAGCGAAACCCTCTAGACAAGCCCCAGTTCTCCCAGGCGCCCAGATTTGCGTCTATCCCAGGGATGCAGAGGGCTGGCATTGGTGGTGGAAGGTACGTTCAACGAGTGCCTGGGGCACCAGGGCTTGGAAACTTGGAGTTGAGCACGAGGGGGGGTGAAACTGGGATGGAGGGTGAGAGGCCATCAGGAAAGGGGTCAAGAAAGGGGGGATTCAGGAGAATTCGTCAGGGAAAAGTCTAATTGCAGTTCCTGGGGAGTTGGGGTCTTATCTCCATTCTACGCTCGCTGGTTTTTATGCTACCACTTGTGTTGTGGTACCGTACGTGTTACCTTGACCTGTGTTAGTAACATAATAAATCATTCCTGTAGGTAGAGACTGTAGGGTTAACGTTTACGGTACTCATTTCCGACATGCTTGGATTGAACACGCAACATGTGTAATGCAAGTGACTGGTATTGATGACTGACATAAACTTCATATGTACATGTTACATACATCCACATCCTTCCATTAACTTCATGATCTAGTACTGCCTGTACTCCTTGATCCCCACACGCCGCTGCTTCTCCATGCGCTCAAAGAAGCTACCATCAAAGATCCCCCGGATCTGCTCCTTGGTCACCACTCCCCTGTCATCGCGACACAGCAACCAGGTGGCACCCCACTCCAACTTCGATGCCACCCTGCACACACAAAAGAAATAATACCGTACATATGATGACAGTATGTGGGTGAAGGGAACCAAGCGAGTCAGGTCAATGAAGCAGGAAACAACGATGGCAGCAGAGATGGCAGCAGATACTTGCACGTACCAGCCAAAAAAGTCCATAACATTCCGGTTGGCTTCAGTCATCTCAAGCATCTCCATCAATGTCAGACCTCCCTTCCTGTCACGATCGTACTTGGAAAAGAGTTCCTCAAATTTCTGAGGAACAAACCTGCGATCCAGGAGGCATACAACAAAATTTCAATAGGAAAAAGAAATGAAAAATCCACAGTGCCATCGTGGTGGTTTAAGTGCCATGTATTCACACACCTGCCCTCAGTGTCGTACACCTCCGAGTCACTGCCATGCTTGCCCTTGTGGGCATTGCGAATGTATATGGGGAAGAAGGGCGACGGAATCCACCCCTGCACAGCAGAAGACAAGTGACATACCAGGAGATGAGCACAGCTGCACGGCAGTGATTGGGAGACTAGCAGAAGGGAAAAGATAGCAGATATCCAAGGAACCCACAGACGCACATCAAGAGTGAAATAGCTGAAGCTTCCATTGATGATGAGCATGCCAAGGAAGGACAACAGCATGTTGAAACCAACAGCACGGAATCCTGCCATTGGGCAAGGAGGGGAGAACGAATCTTCAAATTTAGCCAAGCAGAAAATGCTGCAATCATCCAGAGACAAGTGAACAGACAAGCAAGCAGATTCTTTTGACATACGATGACAAGGAAACACAGGAAGCATTCCGAAGGCGTCCAGAATTCCCGAGGTGGGAAGACCCACCTTCATAGGTCTCCCACGGGTAGATGATGCCGTCATTGTTGCGATCAAAGAAGGCGAAGTGCTGCTGCAGCACCGTCATGCCGCCCGTCACATGGCCCTTGGACCCGTTCGGGTGCTCCCTGTCCGCAGCAACCTCCGCACGAGGCAAATCTGCACAAGGGGATCGCCAAGCCAATCAGGAGGAGGGACGGGGAAAAGGGAAGAGGGAGGTGGAGGTGGTGAGATTAATAATGGAGAAATGCAGAAAAAAAGATTTAGCGTACTGCAGTGTGGAAAGTTTGTAAAAAAAAAAATGGCATGACAGTACTGCAAGATGCCTGACCGTTTGACAGCATCATGTGAAGAGGAGGAGTAAACAAATAGAATTCCCAACTGCAGCTGCTTACGTGGCTTGTCCACGTAGCTGGACAGGTCGTCCGTGATGACTGGGCGCCTCCACGTCACGGGAGTGCCGGGAGCCACGGTCACGGAGTGACGCGGCGCAGCAGCGCCAGTGTTCGCCATGGATGCAACCTCTGGTCTCATGCAATCCCCGCACCCTCCGCTCTTGGTTCAAAGCTCTCTACTCGACGCGCTCTTCTCAGATCGAACGACCTCCGGTCAGCGCTCGATTACAACCTAGCTGTGACCCTCTCTCGCTGCGTGATCGGCCCAGTGGGAGCGAGTGAAACAGTCGGAATACTGCAAAACGGTAAGGCACAACGAGCAGAGCGCACGCGCAAATATCTACTAACTGGCTTGAGCTCCGTTCTCCGTTCCGTGGGCGGGGAGGGCGAGACGGGCGAGGGACGAGGAGGGGCGAGGAGGGGCGAGGATGGGCGAGGAGGGGCGAGGAGGGGCGAGGAGGGGCGAGGAGAAGCAGCAGGGACAGCGACGGGCCCTGGGGCAGGGCTGGATGGTTACGACGTGTCTGCGTGGCGCCGTGTGGGTCACGCTGGATGATCCGAAAGAGGGCCCAGCCCGTGCGACATGCGCGAGGCAGCTGCTTCGCCGCATGACGTGGCTCGGCGCGAGGCTGCCATGGCAGGACGCGATGCCACGAAAGGCGACTCCCTCCCTCTCTCCCTCTCGGTCGCACTCTCGATCTCGCTCGCTCCTCTCAAATCCCCTCACATAGTTGCTCCTCTCGATTGAGCGCCGCGATATATGATAGTAGTTGGCATTCTTGACTGAAGTCCTCTTTCCTCCTCTCGCTCGCTCCATTTGCCGCAGCTTCAGTTATTCGCCATTCGCGGCTCGTCGCACAGCTCTGATCACCCACTTTCCGAGCAGAGGGAAATCGTCAGCACCGCTGCGCTATGCGTTGCATGCAGCCAATCGCGATCGAAGGTATCCTTTGTAAAGCTGTTGTGGGGGGAGCAGATGTTGCTGACGACAGTGTTGGGCAACGGGTTGTGGGACACCTGGCATAAAGAAGCACTCAAGAACATCGCTGTGAGGGGTTAAGCACGTTACCGTGTGGTTCAATCCAATGCGATACGGTTCAGCGTCTTTGTTGTGCGAGGGGTCAAATGCTTCGTTTGCTCCGCCTAAATCGAGAAACTGAGAGTAGGCGATATAGGGATGTGTGATAGTGTTTAGGGATGTCCTAAACAGTTATACCATGTACATCAATGGAGTCAAAGATAAACAGATGTACTACGTGATAGATTGCCACATCTATGCAACAACCAAGCAAATTCTCCAGGATGCCCTAAGTGAGCACATCTTCCAGCAGTCAGCCACAAGCTTGTATATCTGCATTTATGCTTACTAGCAGTGCAAGAATTGCACCCGTGCATAGCATGACCTTAAGCTGCAATGGTCAGGTCCCGCTTGCCTTCCCAACCCCCTGCATTGACAAGAATGGTTATGTTTGGTGGCATCGACAGCTGACGTCTATCCAGCAAATAACATTGGAGGTGTCGGCATTTAAACACGGATGCGGAGATTACTAGTTTTGCACATGAGCGTCTGAGTGAACCCAGAGTAGATGAGCAGCAGTTCAGTCACTGCTGTATGCGATAGCAGGAATGCCACTACATGGTATGGAGATGGACGTGAAACAGTGAAATGCATACGAGAGGGTAAGGCATGACATGGTGTGGTATAAATGAGGAGGATAATTGCGGATGGAACGCCTATAATCAGGTAAAGCATGCCGTGATGTGGCTTGCAAGTTTACTGAACAGATGGATACGCACCTGATACGTGTTCGATGGCTGCAGAGACGGGACAATCTTGAATGGAACGGATGGCAGCGATGGCCGTGCGCATGCAAGGAAGGAACGAGCGGGTACAGCGCACGATGAAGCGAGTGGTTACACTGTTACGCTCGATAAACACCACTGCAAGCAGGAGGAACGAAAGGGAGGGACACCGAACTGGGGACACTGCGCGGTAGGTTCGAGAACGAGCACGCAGGGTTGACGAAAGAGGAAATTTCTCACCGTCGACAGTGGAGAAGGAGACGAGGCCTTCTGTCCCGTACAACGCTGCGATGGTATCCCCCAGCTTCGCGGACACAAGCGGTGCAGTCAGAAGGAAGGGAGAAGGAGAAGAGGATGTTGATGGACGCAGAGATTCGGGTTGCTGGAGATGCAACGCGATGCGGATGGCACGGCGTTTAATTTGAACCATCGGCGATGGTGGTACTAGGAGCAATCTACATATGGGCTTGATTGGGTGTCGAGTTCAGGGCAAGACGCGCTGCTTGCCCAGTATAAACTACGTCAATGCGGTTGTGGGTTTGAGGCTTCCTTCGCCATACTCGATACGTGAAAGGGAACTGGTTTTCGTAGTAGAGCGGTGGCAGAAGCAGTGTCCCATAACCTAAGAGAAACATTGATGCTGCATAATGTGCCACATTAAATCAGCTGCACAATTCTTATCATTGTGTGAAAATACCCCACTAACATTACCATTCTGGGCAATTTATTTCTCTATATTTTTACTGAAAACTTTGAAATAATAGGTAAATTCAGTAGTATTTTATTATCCACCTTTACATACAAGCTTTTGATAATAGTTAATGATTTATATACAAGCCTTTGATAATTGTTAATACAACGTTACCCAATGTAGCAATATACGTGTGTTGAACTTTGTTATTCAACATGCAGCCTTGTACAAAAACATCATTCAGGGGCCAAAATGGAATAAAGTGCACCGGAAGTTCCGGAAGACCATCACCTGGGAATCTCACCAGTCCTTGCACTGATGCGAAACTCTCCAGCAAGGTTCCGCCGATGCTCTGGTGTCTGCCACGTCACTGAAATTCCATGTCGTGAAAGAATTTCTATCCCCTGATTGGCGAGCTTTGATTGTGAGATCTTCTGGTGGTACTCTCAGCCTGTCATGCGATGCCAAGTCGATGAGCTCTCTCGAAGTTCCAAGCCTTTGGGCAACCAACCCACCAGCCCCGACAAAGCGGCCTCTACTATTTATTCGTCACTTGAAGCATTTTACAATCGTTAACAGGATTTCTGTGGTGCCAACAATCAGCTCTCTTTCACCTCCGATTTCCTGTTCTCCGTCCCCATGGCTGCCGTCGCCCAATCCGCTGTGTTCTCCAGCGTCTTCGTCGGCCAGACCTCCGAGTTGGCCAAGTCCGTCGGCAATGCCGAGGCCCGTGTCACCATGAGGCGCACCGTGAAGAGCGCCCCCGAGAGCAACTGGTAAGTACCTTACTCGGATGTGTGTGAATATCTCCGGTTTTCGTTCGTATTCGCCGTTTCTCCCATTTTGTTTTTATGATTCTCGTTTTTTGTACATTCAGGTACGGTCCCGACCGCCCCAAGTTCCTGGGCCCCTTCTCCTCCCAGACCCCCGCCTACCTCACCGGCGAGTTCCCCGGTGACTACGGCTGGGACACTGCTGGTCTGTCCTCGGACCCCGAGACCTTCGCCAAGAACCGTGAGCTGGAGGTCATTCACGCTCGCTGGGCCATGCTCGGTGCTCTGGGATGCCTCACCCCCGAGCTCCTCGCCGGCTCCTTCGACTTCGGCGAGCCCGTGTGGTTTAAGGCTGGCTCCCAGATCTTCTCCGCTGGCGGCCTCGACTACCTCGGCAACCCCTCCCTGATCCACGCCCAGTCCATCCTCGCCATCTGGGCTACTCAGGTGCTCCTCATGGGTGCCGTCGAGAGCTACCGCGTGGGTGGCCTCGAGGGCTTCCAGGAGGTTGAGGACCCCATCTACCCCGGCGGCAACTTCGATCCCCTCGGCCTGGCCGACGACCCCGATGCCTTCGCCGAGCTCAAGGTGAAGGAGCTCAAGAACGGCCGTCTCGCCATGGTGTCCATGTTCGGCTTCTTCTTCCAGGCCATCGTCACCGGCAAGTCCCCGCTGGAGAACCTGAACGACCACTTGGCTGAGCCCTCCATCAATAACGCCTGGGCCTATGCCACCAGCTTCGTCCCCGGTGCTTAAATGCGTGAAATTGTTTCCTAATTGTAATTAGTGCAATTTTCACTTGAAACACACCACGTAATACCATGAAACGCACAATCAGCTCTGCATCGGCATGAATCTCTGTTAGCAGACGCGCTTCAGGTCAACTGGTGCTCTGGAATGGTTAAATTTGTGTTGCAATTCCAGTCTCAAGCAGGAAATCAGTTTGAATGGCTTCTTCAGGGCGAAGGTTGGTAACCGCTGTCGATCTTCTGGTTGAACAGTAAGCGTTCACGCTGGGCATGTTGTCAGCGCATGTTGTTGATGCTCGAACAACTTCTAGAATGTACTTAAGCGCGTATGGTTGAGGGATCCCCATCCAACCACGATCAATGAACAGTCCAATTCAGCTGCTCAATGTGACCAGCAGGCAGGATCAACTGTTACGGGTGCAATGCAGAGGTAGCGAGAATTGCACTAAGGTGTCAAACGAGTACAAAATGTGAGCGAAGGCATGAGCGAACATTTATACGCGAAACATGCAAAACGGTAACGCGGTGCGTGCGAGCTTGCAAGTGCTACGCTGGAGCGAGGCTCGGGCTAGTCCCGAAGCGTAGGCCGATACGGCCATGCCAGCAGTGCGAGGTTTGGCAAAACAGTGCGCGCGAAGTCGGCGAAGTCCCGTTAGCAGTAACGGGCGAACAATCGGCTGTTGCTGTGCGCGATGTAGTCGGCTCCGTAAGGAATGCCGAGAAAATTCCTTACACTACCCCCCCCCTTAAGAAGCCCCCTCCGCTACGCGAGTGCGTGTATATCGCGGAATCCCCGGCTCCTCAGGTACACTTGCAGGGCAGGGTGATTTTCGATGTTGCTCAGGGGCACCCAGCTATCTTCAGTTGGCGTGCGGTCTTTCCAGCGAACGAGGAATTCAATCCTCCTGATTCCCGTGGGGTGGCGGATCCGATGGCTCAGAATTTTTTCGGGCTCGATGATCGGCTCTGATGCAGGGCAAGTCATTGATTGTGGCCGGTGACGCGGCAGTTGACTTGTGGTCGGGATGTATGGGCGAAGTAGGCTGACGTGGAACGAAGGGCTGATGTACCAGTCGGTTGGCAACAGTAGGTGCGCGGTGACGAGTGTGATCATGTGACTGAT